ACTTTGGCAAACCACAAGATAGTCCACAAGCCGAGCCAACGGCTTCCGCACCATAGCCAGTCGCTGAATCTGGGTGAAAACCCCAAAGGCCAGCAACAACGAGACCGACAGTCCACGTTTCCTTTAACGAGGAGAGGAAGGGGGAGCACATGCCACCAACGCCGGCTTCCTGTGAGGAGGAGAAATGGCAAAGATGCATCCATTCCTACCAATGGCAACGGATGCACTTCACCAATTTCTGTGGAAGATGCATTCCTTCTCTTTTTGTTTCCACAATGGCGTGGCAAGGCCTTATGCCTCTAGCGCCGGCACCCACGTCCGCATTCAACCACGAAGCGTCCACACAGAGCTGAGTCATTTTGGCCGCTTCCATTCAGTCAGGGCACCTCGGTCCAGTCTCTCGACTCAACAAGCTACTCTCTGCATTAAAGACTGTGTACGGCGCACGGAGCGGAGGCGCAGTCCAGCGACATCGACCCACCAGCGCAGTTGAGCCAGCTCCTCGTCGGGGTTATCAACCACGAGTTGATTTATGTGAAATGTGAACGCCCAACAAAAAGGCCTCTTTTCCTTTCAGAGAAACCGTGGAAAAATGGTTCCTCTCAAATACAACACCCACCCGCTAGCCTTGCCCTTTCTCGTTGAGCTAGCTGACTCGTTTTTGCGTCTCAGCTAGCTCAACACTCCGAAGCTTGCGGCCCATGTGTGAATTTTATTTATTTTTGGTGCCGTCATTACTGTCTGTGTCAGAGCGTTTTCCATATCTTTACCGTATTAACTATGGCAAAATATTTTCGAGATGTGAATAAACAAGACGTACTTTTTTTTTTTTCATGTACCAAAATCACGAAGTAGTCCAGATAGTCATGTACCAAGCAGAGAGCACAACGCACCAAGATACCATCCATCCAAATAAGAGCTCTCGTCACACCAACACTGTATCCAATGTCGCTCCTACTGTCTGGCACCCAGTGCCCAGCCTACACTACTCAGCCTATCTACGTTCATGCGACTGGATCACATCGAAGTTGAAGACCATTGTACATGACGTAATCAGCAATGCAGACCGCCAGTGTACGCCAGGTTCCCCTCATCACCCCTCGTCAACCCACCTCATGCGTCTCCTACCCGAAGACCACCATCGCCGTCACCTGCCACCGAACGCTCGGCCCGGCTATGGCCGCCGTGCGCCCACTGCCACCGCAGCGCCCTCACACCTCTCTGCGCCCGCATGCGCCCTGGCCGGCTAGTGCTAACGCGGCAGCGTGGCTGCTATGCCTGCATAGGCCAGAATGAGGCTGCCTGGGCAGGGCAGTTTCCTTTATGGAAAGTGCGGCCCTGTGTACGACTTTGTGGGCCTGGCCTGGGAAGTTTCCAGTAGCTTCCAGTCGGGCCCCAGTGTCTGTGCCCACACCCACCTCTGCTGTTACAGGCCTGGGCCCTTTTCAGTTGGGCACCTCCAGGCTCCAAGTGTTTGCCGCATTCTCATTGACTTGTGGAGGTTGTGTGACGACAATGCTGATTTCTCATTTGTCCGGGGGCACTGCGTTATGTGTCGGCCTCCCACTGTGTGTGCCCAGGGCACAACCAACCGAGGCCCTGGGCTCAACTGGAAGAGCCAGGAAAGGATCGCAATGCTTTGTAACCAGCTGGTGTGCTGCAACTACCTTTCTTTTTTCTTTTTTTTTTTAATTAATTTATTATTATTATAGAAAAACAGTCCCTACAGTGCTAGCAATGCTGGTAAGCGCAGACACCGCTAGCACCTGGGGAGAGGCTCCATCTATTGGTGGGGAGCATCACCTCCTGGAAAGCGGGTCCAGCGTCCCTTGCGATTGAAATAGAAAACACATCTCAGAAAGTCTGTAAGCTGAACCTGCCAGCATTGATTACCCTGGAGGCCAGGGGATTGACTGAGCAGGGGGGGAGGGCTCTTCACCCTGATGTTTGGCGCCAGATTTCCTCTGTCACTGCTGGCTCCCCTCCTCTGACCATGGTGATCGGTGATGCCACAAGGTTGGAAACTGTCTCGTTCTGCCGCACCATCAGGGGCCAAGCGGAGATCCACTGGGGGGCACCAGTGGGTACTTCCACCGTCCCCCTGCCTGTCCCATTACTGATACTGACTGTCTACCCAACCCATTCTTCCATTGCTTGGTGGTGGGGCGGGAATGGGTCTGCAAGGTCTTCTGCCGGGCACAGAGGAACATCCGGACTAATCGTGGTCCAGTCCTTGAATACCAAATGATAGTCCCGTAGAGACCTTATGCTGGCCGCATCGTTCTCGGGCTGAATCCGCGTGTCCCAAGGTCCGGACCAAACCACCTCTGCTACCCATCCCTCCCCCAACCATTCTTGGCCAAACTTCGTAATCACCGAGGCAATGTCTTTTGGTTGATGTAACGAGTCTAATGTTTGTTTTGTGACTGCCCATAGTCGAGAAAGTTATAGTTGGAACTGCTGTTTGAGGTATTCCTGTTTCTCCTCCCCATCCACCATCACCTTGTCCATGGCAAGGGCACAGCGTTGCCACCAAATAACCCATAGAATCACTCGTCTTCCCRGGTGGAACATGTTCCATGCRRAGGTCTGATTTTGGASGTCCGGGCGATGGCCCAGCAGGATCGCCCGCCACTCCCATGGCCATGCGTGTCCCGGGACCATGTGTCGCCATATCCTCTCCCACCATCTCCATGTTGCTACCGCTACCGGGCATTGGAGAAAAATGTGCTCTATGGTTTCTTCTTTTAGACGTACTTTTATTTATTGATAATATTTTCAGATTTGTACAGGCTGGATCAGAAGTTTCTGCTTTATTAGGTAGTTTCTGCTTTATTAGGTAGGATGCCTTCAGC